AGAGCGCTTCTCTGCATTTCCTCTGGAAATCACTATTTTTCAGAAATGGATTTAATTAATTGGTCATTCAACACAATTGATAAGATTTTTTCTACGATGAGAACGGAGGAGGGGGCTCGCGCTTGCCTTCACGGGACACACGCAGCGGGATATATGCTCGATTCCTGGAAGAAGTGGAATGTCATCTGTCTCTCTCAGCTGTCCATTGAGGACGTCGAAGATGTGTGGATATTTGGCCTGATGATCACTGGATTTCTTCTGATTGGAGTGGGAGGATATCTGGTTTTCCGAAAAATTGGGATGACGGGAGCGATTGGAGGGCGACCCGCACCCATGGACGGCACCGTCCGGGCGGAGACCTCACAGACTGTGACTTTACTCGAGGTGAATCGCAAGCTGGACAATGTCTTAGCTGCGTTACCGGTATTAGTGCGCAAAATGGATGTCGTCTCGGAGAGGGTCACCGGACGGTGTGGAGATGTCTAATCACCCGAATTGGCTTCACTGGAGGACTTGAATGATTGATACAGACTTTAAGGCAGAGAGGAAAATTATCTCTGCCTGACCCAAACAAAGTCCTGTTATCCAATCTGACGCCATAAGCAGCCTTGGAGTTGCGTGCAACAACCCCCACGATGGAAGGAATGCAGACAGATGCTGAGAAAACCCTACCTACACCCCCCCCCCCCCCCCCCCACCCCCCCCCCCCCGCCGCCTTCAGATTGTGGTCTCTGCAGCGTGGTCATCAAAATGGAGGCACTCAATGTGCTCTGTACTTTCCCATGACCTCCCACCCACCTGTGGATTCAGTTGGCCGAGAGCCACACGGGCTGCTCCCGCTGAGGAAACCAGGATCCCAGCCCCCCCCCCCACCGGGTCTCATGTTGTGAACTGTGACGTTCGTGCTTACATGTTGAGGTGTCTTTTTGCATAGTAGAGCTACTCCCTGCTGGGTGTAACTCTGCTCTGCCTTTTTTCCCCTCCCCCTATTCTCCTCATGTAATCCCCTCTTCATCTATTATCTAATGGTAGCACGACTCTTGTTGCGAATGACCACAGTACCAATTCTTCTGTACTGAAACAATTGCCCCTCGGGGATGATTAAAGTTTTTTGATCTATTGATTGATTGATTTCATTTGACGGGATGTCTGCCACCAAGAATTCCACCATAAAAGCAAAGGAACCCAGCTGACATGTTGTTTGGCAACATCCCACAATACACATCCCTCCTCCATTTGCAGCAGTAACATTACCCCCATATGGTGTTAACTCGACCCCTCCTTTTGTGAGGGACAGCCACAGCTTCTGTGAAATTCCAGAACGAGACGCCCCTGTATCTATCAGAACATGACAATCACACCCACCTATCCTTGCTTTCCTCTTCCCTTCCTGGAGGCCTCAGCCATAAAAGTAAAGGGGGCAGGCATTCGGCCCTCTGTGCACGCCCCCTCTAGTTTCCCTGGACGTAAGGACAATCACTCATGGGCTATGAATTGATCTTTAGCCAATAGCTCTTGAGTGTCAGGATCTGCTGTTGGGTAGGCTTTAACAGCAGCACGTCGTAATGCCATTCCAAATTCACGAACGGTCTCATTGTGCAATCTGCGTCGAGCAGAAAAACGGCTCTGCTCCAATCAGCACTGTCACGTGGGTCCAAGCATCTACTCATTTCTGTTTTCAACGAGGCATAGTTAGTTTTAACATTTCCAGGAAACCCGCTATAAACCTCTCAAGCCTTACCTGAAAGGAGAAGACACATAAATTTTAATCTTAGGCTCTCATCCCAATTATTTACATCAGCGGCCATTTCGAACTGTTCGGCCCACTCTGCCCATTCACGCTCGGCACCAGAGAAACTTTCCGGCATAAAAATCGGCCTAGCCGCTGCACTCGGAGGCTGGCTGCTAGCTGAGCCCGACGGAGGGGACACGTTATTTTCAGGTTCTGACATTCTGGATTGCAAGATCCCACTCCTGACTGCAGTGTAATGAAAAGTAGTGTGGGCTGCACGGGCAGAATGTCTTGCCCTCCAGACAGAACCTTACAATCAAAGGAGCAGGCACCGGTTACCAAAATATACATTTATATTAGCACAATTCCACAATGAATCTCCTCCCTATAAACCAAGCTTCTGTCCCTACTGGCGCTGTCTCGCCCAGTCACCCTTCCCTCCCCTATTCAGATAAAACCAGCCGATCAGCCTTAAAACTGTCAGGTACTTAGCTGGCCCAGTTGGTGTGACCCCCTCCCCGGGGTCCAAGCGTCCCGGAGATTAACTTCCGTGGACGGCGGGTAGATCCTGCGGGTTGCGTCCTTCTGCCTGGTCTTTCTGCGGCAGATGTCGGTGTGGCCTCGACACCCAACTACTCCCGCCCTAACAACCTGAAGAAGGCAATGACCCTCCCCTCTTAGCGCTGGAACACTACCCCCACTCAGCTGTCTTCATCGCCGGCAGCCCTAACGGACTGCGAGCGATCCCACCCCCCAACTCAGGGTGCCGCAATGACAGGTCGGCCACACACCCCTTCCTGCAAATCTGCCACCCTTCATCACTTCCGGCCTCATTATGCCAAACGAGCACCAGCTGGTCTTCAATAACCACGCCCCCCAAGGTCAAGTACAAACTTCTGCCCTGACAGTGCTTTATAAATAAAGCTTGATTGACTGATTGGTAGAGCACCTGTTTTTTATTCAAATGAATCTTTGAATAAACTGTTTACAGTTTTTCTCGATTGCTTTCACACATTTCTTGTGCTTGAAATGATCAAAACAGAAAACACAAATCCATAAGATCTCACCCAACATCCCAAACATCGTAGTTTCAGGTCAAAATGAAGCACTACACTCTAAACCATTCACTCTGGCTGATAAACCAAACTTTATCCACAGACATCACACACAGGGCTTCAACAACGCACACACACACACACACATACACACACACATACACATGCACACACGTGCACAAACACACACGTGCACGCACACACATACACACACACACACACACACACACACATACACATGCGCACACACACATGCACACACACACACACATGCACACACGTGCACAAACACACACGTGCACGCACACACATACACACACACAGGCAGCACACACACACGCACACACACACACACACACACACACACACACACACGCACGCACACACATATACACACGCGCGCACACACATATACACACGCACGCACACACATATACACACGCGCGCACACACACACACACACACATGCACACACACATACACTTGCGCACACACACATGCACACACATGCACAAACACACACATACACACGTGCACGCACACACACACGCACACACACACGCACACACACAGGCAGCACACACACACGCACACACATGCACACACACATACACATGCGCACACACACATGCACAAACACATACACATGCGCACACACACATGCACAAACACACACATGCACACATACACAAGCGCACGCACACACACACACAGGCACTCACATACACACGCACACACACACACACACTACAACGTAGTCTTACAAATTGATACAGTAAATAAAATAAAAAATATTTGCTAAACTGGCAGGTTATGTTGCGGTGGGGGAAACTGAGGATGGGGGCAGCAGTGACATGCATTTGGCTGGACTTGTTGCCTCCCTCATAGTTACACCTTGGACTAGGACATGGTCGCTAAAAAGTGGCTCAAATTCCCTCTTAGACCACTTGTCTCCTTGTCCTTGCTCTTCCCCGACCATGCCGCTGTCGTCCTCGACCTCCTCCTGCTCCACCTCTTCCACCCTGGTGTCCTAGTCCTCCTTCTCCTACTCCTCTTCCTTTGCATGACTTTGGATCCATCGGTTTAACCCTGAATGAGCCGACTTCGGCACTTTTATCTATCAATCAAAGTTTCCGATTGGTGTGTGTTAAATTGCGATGCATGGCGTTTCCAGTTGGATAGTTGTGTGCTAGTTGAGCTTAAGCTGTGCTGACTGCAGTTAATATTATTGACTGCTAGTGCTTTCTAAACATTCAGGGGAATCGTGTGTTTTTGAAAAACAGCATTATGGTTTTGGCATTTGAGTACAAAGATTAGTTATAGTAAGATACCAGGACAAAACTTTTTTACTTTATTTAGCCAGCAGAAGCAGCTTGTATTGTTATATACATTTCCATTTGATTATTTTCTGCAAAATATTTTGTCTCTAAAGATCTTCGAATTTGGTCATGCAACATGTTAGTTGCAATGCTCTGGATGGGACACAACAGTCCCAATGAGCTACTCGGCTCACGTCACATGGACTCACATAGGCTTCATCCGGCTAAATAACAAAGAACGTAAAACAAAGGATTAGTCCTCATATTTTAAACAGTTTACTAATAAGGGGTTGATAACGTAATACTGGCAAGAAAGAAATAAATTAAATGTATGCCAACATCGAGGGTCAGTACACAGAAACAGAGGGAAAGGCAGCCGGACCCCCGTGCCCCTGGTACTCAGACTCAGATACTCAAAGTACTTTTCAGCTCTAAATCACGGCCATCCTGGACCGGGGCTCACCCGCCTCAGCCACAGGTCTCCCCTGGTGCAGGGGCCCCTGCTTGGGCCCCACACCTCAGTGACAGAGGCCTGAAATGGCTCATTCTGGGAGGAACTGAAAATGTCCAGGATTAAACTGCTGGGATGGGGTTGTGAGAAGGATGTAGAGCAAATACCTTCACACAGGTTTTTTACAGACCATAAAACTAGCTGCTAGTGGTTTGATGCACAGAAACAGCTGATTGTTGGTAGGCGGGGCTCCAACTCCGCCTCCCAAAACACAACATGGCAACTCCGGTGATCGGATATCACGACTTCCCTTTTCAGGGATAAAAGGCGGTTGTGTTGCGTCCATCTTTAAACGATGTTCAGACTTTGTTTGTATGCATATTTGTTTATAACAGGACCAAGCTGTGTTTTAGTTTAGTTTGGGTCAAAGGTGAAGCACTGACCTCGTCTGCGCTGGCTGAACCCTGAACCCGTCTTAGAGCAGCAGAGACCCGTTCGGTGGTTCTGAGCGTTACTCTCCTTCTGTGGTGTCAGAGTCCATGAACGCTTTAGGACCTCCGGTGTTCTGAACGTGTTGCAGAGTGAAGTTCCTCGTGCACGTCAGCTGTTGTTGTTTTTTATGTGTTGTAATTGTTTCTCCTTCCTTTCTTGGGAAAAGGTGCTTTAATGATTCATCCAGCAGGGGGCGTTGCAGGAAAACATTCAAACTCCAGCACCATGTGAACTGTGAGCGGGTTCTGGTTTTACAAACTGGGTTTTGTTTTTTCTGAACAGTTTCGCTATAAGAGGAGAGTTTACACTCAGAGCTATGTGGACGACAAACAGCTGGCCAAGCTGCACACAAAGGTAACACACTCAGTGACCCCATCAGTTCAAGCGTGCGTTTGTGTAATGGGCCATTCCCATCTGTACCGGGTCGGCCCGGGCCGGGTAGCCCCAGCCTGGCCCGGTTGATCCCACACATCCTTGCCTTAAGCCCATGTGGGCTGATTCTACCCACCAATCAGAGGCTTGCTCTAATGGAAGGTGTGGATTTGCTGTCAGCAGTGGGTGTGTTGGCCCTGGTCGGCCTGAAGCAGACCCCCTCCAGAAG